TCCTTCGCTCTCGTTACAGGGAGGCGAACATTAGCAAATTAAATTACAAACTGATCACTGGAATTAAGTTAAGCTTATCCAATTATTTCTGCGCTCTCAAGGGTAAAAAAATTCAAAAAAATAGCGTAATATAGTGCACAGTAACAAAATTTTAGAAAAAAAGAGGAAAAATGAGAAGCAGATTACTCAGTATTAGGTTCAATTGCTCCCGTCAAAATGCTAGCGCAAACAAGCTAAACCCAAAGAATGCAAAAACCAAGACAGCGCATCTGAATTCTTATGCTTTTTTGGTGATATAGTTCCAAACAACTATTACTAATGTAATTACCATCTCAGTAGTATAACAGCAGGTTCATTTCCTATTCATTTATTTCTATGCATCTTTGAGCATAACAACAAACATATGAATAAACCAATAAGTGCAGCCAGCTCTCCAACTAAGTGAATTAGAAAAAACTGTTCTACATAGAAGGCTGGCCCTTATGATAGAGCAGTGAGATACCTCAGATTAGTAAAGATATGATTTTCACACATTTTGTAACTCAAAAGCGAATTGATGCGGTGGACTGATAAGAGCAAAAAATGCGGTTAATTATACCCAACCCTTATGTTTTTTGTAAGCTTTCATCAGTCACAAGTAAATGTTAGATCACAAAATTCTAACAAGCAACTCCAGACCGTCTCTAATCTGTTTGATGTCGTTAAAGTTTCGTGTACTGTGTGCAAACAAATGAGCATAACATTCTTAGCTATGCACTTCTAGCCTACTAGAGCAAATGTCGTGGGCGTTGCTGTCTATTTTTTGATAGTATATACTGATAAAATTGGATAAAACCTGGTGATCATCAATGTAAAGGTTCTGCCCAAGTAATAGTCTTGAAATCAAAAAAGTCAGCAAAGCTTAAGCACACTGTATTTTGTCTTAGCTTATACTACGAAACTATTATTATTAGGTTGGCTGAAAATAATTTTGGCTTGAAAATTTTCATAAAAACTTTCCTAACTGTTCTTTATCCATGAATTTTGGTAATCAAGTAGATCAAAGGTTCCTCTATCACATATAAACTATTCAATAGTTCCAATAATCATCAAAGGACGGTTATGCCCCCATTTGGCTAAAATTCCAAAAGCTCGATTCTGCGACTTTGTGAGCTTCGTTTTCATGCTCTAATGAATGTAGAAAACAGCAGTTTGATATTTAGATACAAACAAGTTTTCCCTACTTAGCGAATATCAACAAGAGTCGTGATCTGCCATTCCAGAATTATTTGACCGAACCAAATTTTTTCATATTTGCGCCCAAAGAAAAATTTGGGATTCCTCATTTCTTTGCGTTTCTCTAGATGCAAAATAAATTTTAATTGAACAGATCTTGGATACCAATTCTCACTGAAGTTCTTTTTTCAAAGGTACCGAATACTGTACAAAATATTGTCTTAGCATCTGTAGGAGTCGCAAAAGCGCCGAAATTATCTATTAGCCAACCTAATATTATTCCAACAGCACCAACCGATATCTCCACTTTTCATCCATTCAAACAACCAAGTCAAGTGTATTGTTCTGTCCTATGGAAGATGTTTGCCAAGAGCATAATAGTGTTATTTCAAGAGAAAACCCAGCGACCTCCTTCCAGCTTTAGGTTGTTCACTCGAGGAGTCGTCGTTCATAAACAAGCAGACCAAGTCATTCTATATGATCATCAAGAAATCCCAAAGGAGCCGTTGGATGTGTTTTGCACCAAGAAACCAGTAAGCATTGCGAGTCTTCCAACAAGCTGTAGATTACATTTAGCAGAATGTAAAGAGAAACAATGTTGAAAGGTTACGTCAAGAAAGCCAAAAAGGCACCCAGTGGGAAACTGATCTTCCTCTTCTCGTGACCTTGGAAAATTGCGAACACCCGGGTCTCATCTCAAACATCTCACTGTCCCAGATCTCGATTTTTTGAAGTTTGAAATTTGCTGCTTTTTGAGTAATATGACCCAAGCAGGAATTTCCGAATTATTATGTCCGGGTCACGCTCTTCAATGACGTATTTATATTCTGTTTACGTCTGGGTCATAACATTGGTAGCACTTTCGAATCAGTTATAAATCGCTTCAATATGTTTTCTTGACTTTAAATGTCACCAGGGAGTGCAACGAAGGGATGAAAACGCTTCGAACTCTCCTAGATCGCTTACCTCTCAGCATCATTTTTCAATGTACCCCTGGAACTCAGTGTACTTCCAAAAGCATGCAAAAAACAAGTTGCTAATATTGCTTCTACATACCCCTGACTTCTGAGGGCCCTGAAGGCTAAAGCTTAGCAGACGAGATCAAAATCTTAATAACAATGCCGAATTCTCATTGGAGGGTGTAAAATAAACCCCCAATTCCTTTTGAGAATTAGAAAAAATCCCCAAACTCAGATAAAGTAATGTGAAATAAATAATGTAATATAATGAAACCTGTACTAACACGTCAAATAGTATAATTTTTGAAGATCTTCACAGGGTCATATGCGACAATTCAGGATGTAAAATGCAGTGTTAATTGAACCCAAGTCTTTGGATCACTATGATAAAGGATGCCATCGGGTAGTCTCAATGACGAGTAATTATCTTGATTTCATATGAAAAAAAGATAAAACCCTAATTAAACTATTTCGTCACTTTACTAGTATCTCGCATGGTGCAGTACCGAAAAAAGCTTTAAGCTTTATGGGATTATTATGATGGAGACTATGGTAAAGGAAAGAAACCAAATTTCAGTTTCCGTTCTGAGCTTTCCACAAGAAGATTTATCAAAATTTTCAAACATTCATTCAAATCAATTCAAAAATTAGATTGTGCTTCTTTACATAGTATACGTTTCTTCTTGTTTTGTTAAGGCGTCTAGAGCTTCATGTCTTGTTTACCATTTATTTTTTTTTCTTGAGGCTGAGAACTGGCTTGCATCGTGCGCTACTCGAACTTTTTTTCTGATGTTTTTTCCTTTTTGAGCACCTTGTGTGCATTTAGAAAATAAAATAAAAATGAAAGTATATCATAAACTGTTGCTAGACAGATCCGAAAGTCAGTTTGACGCGGGTTGACGGTGAGTTCACGAAGGTGTATTTCAAGCTCTTACACAACAAATGGCCAGAATCAAAAAGCTTGTCAGATGGGTTACAAGTCAAGACTATGATTCTGCCGGTTCAATACCAAGCATTTGGTCTAATGAGCTCGAAGAAAAAATTGAAATAGCATCTCTCCATTTGCGCAAGCATATACTTGATTTTCAACCCCGCCGGTAATGCCACCATTTCCAAGCCCTCTGTCATTTCCATTGCTTCTATTCCAAATGCCTTGTTCGGATTTTACGAGATACATTAGCAGAGGACGCAGGGGGCACCAGAATGATTACTCAACTGCAGCCCAGGAACGAAGAATCGATGGTTGGGTGGAAAAACACACGGATAACAAAAGCGGATACGAAGAAATGTGGCGGAATGGACCACATATGTGTGTGCGTCTACGTGCGAAAACAACCAGTGTAAACAATGTCAAACCCTGACTGATCCGGTGGATTTGTGCCCATGCCCCGTTAGTCGTGTGTTCCATCCCAAAAATTGCATACTGATACGAAAACTAGCCATTGGAGCGAGCAGTCGAGTCACTTGTGACTATGATGTGCGATCGCACACTACGCGCAGAATCTTACGATTACCGGTTGTCATAGAGCGAGTAAAAAGATTTTTGATCAACCAGCTTTTACACCTGGCTGTACCTATACGCACTAGAAAAGAGAGAATCGAGAGGAATACCCTTGAGCACACAAGTCGTGAACTACCGCATGTACTATGCATTACAGATATGAGCTGAAAGCGACTGCAGCTCGAAAATAGTTTTGGATTAGGTTGAGCGCATCCTTTTGTAATTAAAGCTGCATTAGAATTTTGAAATGTCTCGCAGTTACTTTGTTTATCGATATTTTGGAGAAAAGAGTTCGTTAAACTTGTCATAATACTCGTCGAAAAATTGTAAAAACTAAAGAAAGGTAGAAAAGAAAACTCTACATATGGGAATAGAAAACGTTACCATCTCAGATAGACCTTAAGCACAACGGTACTTATACACTCTAATATGCCTAAAATACAAAATTGCCTTATAAGCTTACTCTCTCAAAAATACAACCCAAATCTGCACCATCATAGGTGCTTTGGTCTGAGAAAATTTCAGTTTCAACATCCAAATACAAAAAAATTAGACGTCCTATATATTCGTTCGTTCTCCTTCTTTTTATGATAAGTAAAAGTTGAATTCATAAAAGATCTAGACGACACCACATCGCTTTTTTAGGCTCTCAAGTTACAATTCGTAGGTTCAAGCTCACCTCTTGCTAAATAATCAGCAGTAACGAATTCTGAATGGCAACACCTAGGATGCGATGCGCAGTCTTTGCTGAGCCGAGCCTCTTGCAAGCTTTTACCGAAAAAGAACGTCGAGGCCAACATGGGCGAGGCTCATAAGGTTGGTCACGGAGATAGCGGATGGGTGCCGGAGGGGAGGATATTGTAGCGCGTCATATCAGAAAGGGGTGGATGGACATTACGGGGGCGGGGCGCGAAGCGGATATGTATAACGGGGCAAATGTAGCTGAGGGGGGTGAAAGAGGCTGGCAGAAGGTTCGTGGAGGGAACGCACTGATAGGGACAACGTGATTGAATCGTCTAGGATTGCCTGATATTTGAGACGCTCGGAAGTCGCTTCCGATAGCACCTAGCGCGCGGCTCGGCTGTCAGCAGATGCCGTTTCGGCGTCACATCTGCTGCCCCTTTCGGGGTCCCCAGTGGGCGCAAAAAATCGCTGCGGCTTTGGCATCGAAAAGCGTCCGGAAAGCGTTAATCATGTCCCGGCTTGGTTGGCGGCGAACTTTTCACATCGATCATCACATGGCAAAGCTGCGCGTTGCTCACTTGCACTTTTGCACGGTGGTGGAAGAGCAGCTCTGACGAAAAATTACAGACAGTGGCACTCACTTCCTGATGACGATTTTTCCTTTGAGCTCGATCCCTCATCGGACGTTTTGTTTTTGAGAAATTTCAGCATAATCCTATTCGCTCATTCGTTACGCACTGCAGAAAAGACACGGTTCAAATTCAGCGAGCGAACAAATCGACATCAACGACGCGAATTCAACAAAAGTTTAGAGGTGGAGCGAAAAAATTAATCATATTAGGACCTCGTAAGGAAGAATGATAGAAGTTTTTGCGATGATATTTGAAGCACAAAGAAAAAGATAATGCTTGTGAGAAACGCTCGAACATTTTGAGGTTCAAAAGTTCAGAAAATAAAAAAAGTCCTGCTTACGGCAAAAACAGTCGAGATCAAACTATCTTTTTCTTGTCATGTCGAAATTTTATAACCGCAGAACAACTCTAAGTGGAGGCTGCAAATCAAGGAAGTAGAGACGGTGAATTCGAGTTTGCAACGCATCAAAATAGAACAATATAACCGGATTGAAATTGCGAAAATTTGTAGCGCCAAAATAGCCGCAAAACATAGTCGCTCGCGCCTATTAATAGCAGATGCGGTGCGAACATTTAGAGGGTTTGATAGTCCCTAAAGTGATTGACATACGAAGCGATTGAAGTAGTCATTGTGGAGAAAAGCTGTTGAAATAAGTGGACGACACAGAAGAGGGGGAGTGGAGAGAGAGAAAGTGGAAGAGAGAAATGTGTCTCCAGAGGAATTGTTTCTCTCTCTCGGGTCGATTGTTGCGAGAGAGGAATTTGTTGAATTCAAACAGTGAATCGATTATCAGCCCCGACCGTACGCGAAAGGCAACAAACGCGCTTTTGTTTCACATGAGCTGCTGTTATGCTAATGACCGACTGGACCGTGAAATCGAGTGAGAACGGACGGATGAGGTGCGAGCCCCCGTCCTCGTCGACGGCGGGCGAGGCGCAGAACGATCGTCGGGTGGCCGTGCGCGAGCACTTTCTACTCGGAAACGGGTTTAACAGAAGGAGAGAGCATGAAAATCAGCAACTAGTAGTGAAGGCTACAAGTGATTGCGCAGAAATCAATCAAAAAAGATTACGGGGGGGGGATGAGGAGGGTGAAGGGGATAGTGGAGGAAAGGGGTAGGAGGAAAAATGATTGGTTTTCATAGACAGGAACCTGAGCATTGAGAAAAATTCAAGATGCAAACCTAGGTTCATTTTTTTGCTGACTTTGAATTTGATTTTTTGAATGTTCAATTTTAATAAATGGTATTTTTCATTTTCAATTTTTTGAAATAATAAAATTTGGCATGATATGTCGGGATTACCAATTCACAACTAATTCGTTACAACTTAATTGCTCAATTGTGCTTTTTCTGGAAAGTTTCAAGAAACAAAACCCGAATTCCAAATGGTTTTTTTCATAATTTTGTGTTCCAGTTTAATGAGGACTGAACTTTCGAAATACTGTTATACTTACAAACACGTAAAATGGCGCAACTTTGCGCTAATTTCAACGAGATAAAGTAGATAAGACGTGAGTTTGAGTTTTTTTTGGCTGAATGTGTACAGAGCATGAGAAAAAAGTTTGGAGCTTGCAGCAAAAGAAACTTATCCAAGCGGATTTCAATTTTTCGCGCCAGCTTTGAGCATGGAAGTCATCAAAATGTGAGATAGGCTGAAACTGCAACGGTAGAATCAACAAAATTGATTTTTTGTTGAATTTCAATGTTTATAGATTTGTTATAAATATTGGGAATGGTGTAAAATTAAAACTTTGAAATCAAGCTGAGCCTTTTGCTAACTCTGAGGGTACAAAACTCTATTGAAATTTCGGGACTAGCAACAAAAAAATTGAAAGTGTAAAGAGAAACTGCTTTTTTGCTGAACTCAATCTTATATATAAAGCTGAATGTCTGTCTGTCTGTATGTCTGTCTGTACGTATGTGCGGAATAGAGATTTTTATTTCTGAGCCGATTTGGAACAAACTTGGCACACATATACTTCGGGGCAGGGAGCGTGTCATAGGCTACTTTTCTTTATCGATCGATATCGATTTTTTGCAAAATTTGAGCTACAAGGCTGGGAGTTGGCACAGGGGGGTAATTGAACATGCTGATTACAAATATATACTATTGACAGGCCCGGGCGGAGCCGGGTATGCCAACTAGTCATTTATAAGGATGGAAAATAAAAGAACCAACACAAACTTTAGAACGGTAAATAAGCTAATATTGAAACGGCAAACTTGGGCCGAGTTTTTGTACGCTGTCAATTTCCAGGTGCACAACTTAATGTAATTTTGGAGCTAACAGTAAATAACTTGAAATCTAATACTAAGTTTTATTTCCAATAGGCTATAGAATTTTTGAATAAAATTTTGTGACTTACAACAAAAAACCCAAAACTGTTCTGTTGAGCGGAACTTTTCCCTGCTAAATTTCGGCATTTATGATATTCCGGAATAAAATTTAGGATTTGTCACAAAATCATGACTGTAAAAGTAAAACTTGTTTGCCAAATGAGCGCTTATACTGTAGAATTCTAAAATGGACTATCAACAAATAAAATTGAAACGGTAATGTCAAACGGACAATAAGTTTGGAGCGATGATATTATGCTAATTTTTTATTTGCTAAAAAACATAAAACTTCAGCAATGATATCGGGATTAGCAGCATAAAAAGGAAAGATGTAAACCTGAGCCAATTTTTTTGTTCTTCAAAACCGGAAGAAAAAGTTCGGGAGTGATAAAATTTGGAAATTGTAAATTCAGCTAATCTTTTTCTGCTAATTTTGAGCATTTATATATCCTGGATCAAAATACCGTATTCCGGACAATTTATGGAAAAAGAGCCAGTTAATCTGCTGAATCTAGGAAATCGTAACAAAACAGTCAATTCCCAGAACAAACCACTTTTGCAGACAAACTCCATTTTCCGATTAGAATAGTGCCCATTGATTTTGATTTATTACTGAGATTGCAAACTCTTTTTACATATTTGCAATTTTGTAGCGATGCATTGTTCTCAGCTTTTGTCAGTATTGTTATAGTGACCCAATGTTTACAGAAGAATTTTCAAAAAAATATTAAAAAGTCTTCGAAAGTTTCAAACAAATTAAAGCCGGAAAAATTACTATTTTTTCATAGGGACCAGATGAGGCAGATAGCGCAAATGGAACAGTCCCATCGTTATGAAAAAAATGCGCCATAGTTTGATGTATGAAAACGGAGGAAATAAATGAAAAAATACGCTTGTAACATCTACAGTGTTAGGACCTCATCAGTTTACAAAATCGGTGCGGAATCAAAATTGTGCAGAGAAACGGGAAAAAAGTGATAATTGTAAGGAAATCCAAGAGGTAAAAATAGCAAGAATAGCAGGTAAAGCGAAGAACAGCAAATCTTAAGATTAAAGATGTTGATAAATTATGTAATGCGCAAAAAGATAGCCAGCAGTGCAGAAAAAACAATTCGATGTAAGGATTTAATCCCTCTCCCCCCCCCCCCTCTACACCTCCAAGTAGTCCATACAAGTGGCCTGGTTCTAAAAGTGACTTATTGCTAGTAGTAAGTCCAGTAAGTTTTCATAAACTCAGTAAAATTAGAGCAGCCTTTGAAAAAATTGCTTTCAGGTACGTTTTACGCTACTCCATTTTCTCATGTAGTAAATAGAGAAATTTCCCTTTTCCCGCATTGGATTTCTGCAACCCGACTGGACATGATTGGTATTCAAGAAGGAGAATTAGAAGCAATGATTCATGAGCTAAACGTGAGAATCGATGAAGGAAGGAGGTGGGTGAAGTAGCTAGTGCATTGAATTTCGGTTAGCTCGCAAGCATATTGTGGAAGAAACTTCCATAGCAGGTTTGCAAACTGCAGGTAATTGGGTTGGATAGGAAGGAGATGCATCAAAAAGAAAAAGTGGCTGTGGGCAAAATGAAACTTTGTAGTTGTTGGGTAACTAAGTTGGTCCAAAATTCTTGTACCAGAACTTTTTAGAATTAATTTTTGTCAGTTCGATTATGGCTCAAAAATGAAAAAATCTACTTTTTGAACCTGTTTCAGGTGGATACTTATATGGGCACGGAGATACAAGCTGATAAAGATCAAATAGGATTTTTCAAACAGTGATTTTCAAAAAGTGCTAAAAGATACCAGATGATTGAATTTTACTTTCGATTGTAATTTCATGATTCTCTTTTCGATTCTTATCGGATGTATCTATGTAATATAATTCTTGAGTTTTTTAATCCACATTCTGAATTTGTTACGCGTAACTCATAATAAGCATAGTAAAGTAGAAATTCGTAGTACAATAAAAATATAAAGGGCAGCAATCAAAAGAATTATTTATAGATTTTTGAATGATTTTTTTATAGTCTTGCAATTATGGACAACCTAATACAATGACAATCAGAGAAGATGAGATCAGAAAAAAAGTGTAAAAAAGGGAAAATTTTCAAGACTACAGACCCCTTCCCCCGCAAAAACTGTTCTTGGAGCGTCAAACATGTCGAAAAAGTCACAATATTTGCGAGGAACATTTCATAAAAGCGAGGTTGAAGACAGGTAGGATTAACATCGCACTACTGCCAGTAAACATTGTCGTTCACTTTCAGGAGTAAGGAACCTCACCTCCCCCCCCCCCCCCTCCCCCTCCCCCCCCGCCGCGACTGCGATGGCTGGCGATTGCTGAAGCAGCAGACATCGTTATCAGACGTCTGATTCAATGGTGCATTCGCGACGACGACGATTCGGACGACGCAAAACATGCATCGAATAATCAAATCAAAGCAATCGATAGCGATCGATAAGGAGACTTTGGAATCATCTAGTCGCGGCAAAGCGCCACATTTATCACGCTTTCGTTGGCGCGCATAATTTGTGACTGCGTGATGGGGGCTTACTACTTCAGTCGACGGCGAGAGGGAGGGAGGATCAGAGCAGAACATCGAACATTTCAGAGCGATGATATAATAAACATAAATCTGAAAAGGTGATAAAAGTAAATAAAAAAAGATATAGAAAGATCAAACAGAAAAATGCTCTCGTCAAACAATCACTTCGAAAAAGCTGCGATTTAAAATGTGCATAAGTAGAGTGAAAACTTCAAAAAAATTTGGAAAA